TGAATAATTGGTAAAATTACAATTTTTAAAAAATTTTTGTTTGCTGTTTGCCTCTTGTCTCATTTGATTCTCAATAGTTTTTCAGCCCAGCTGTTTCTCAAAACTCTGTTTCTTGTTTCTTATGAGAAAGAAGTTTGTTTGCACAATACACTAAGATCCAAGGATTTGTAACCTGGGAAATAGAGCAATTGTTTCTGTATTTCCATCGGTAGTTTTCAGAGGGTAAGACCATACACCTGTCTTTAATCAGAAGACCTCATAAAAGAAGCTCTTTGTATAAGTGCTGAGACCCTCAGGTAAAGCAGCCCCACCTGTTGCTATTCAGAATATCCTAGCATGCAAATGAAAGATCCATTACAAAAGCTTCAGAGAAAATCAGAGACTTCTGAATAATGTTTCAAATACAAATCTTTACTTGAGTAATTAATCACATTTCATTGATATTCAAGATACATATTTTTTCACAATTATGAATTCTAAAATCAGCCAGCAACTTTTAATCAAGATATACTTTTAACATGTAATATTATTTTCCATAAGAATATTACTTAATCAGTGATGAATCTTAGACAAGAAATCCTTCAGTAAAAATAAAATACATAAGGTATTCAAATCACTAAATATAAAGCCACACATCAAAAATCTTCAATAACTGTAAAATTATAAGGTAATCCAATCAATAAATATAAGATCACACATGAAATGAATAAAATCTCTGTGTTTGTCCTTAGTTTTGCTACTCCTTTATTATTATAAAACCTTGGCAAATAGAATAAACAAAGAAAAATCATTCTGTAACATGGTAATGATGTTAATCATTAGACAAAGATTTGTATCTAAGACCATGTGGAATGCTTCTCCAGACTAAATTTGGTAACATTGTCGGGGAGAGAATTTACTTATTATTTATAAGAACACTCTGTGTTGGGGGAGGCTAGTTTTCAAGTGCTTCAGAGCATTTAGAGACCTTAAGGCTCTACAATATGACAATCACTGTTTTCATGAAAGATAAACTATTACATGTGGTTAATGTGATGATAGTCAACAGAATCTCTTTCACTGAAAATCTGTAATTTGACCTGTTTATCACATCATGGGGGGAGGCTTCCAAGCTGAACTTTTTTCTTAACATGTGAGTCAGTCAGATGGTTCTAACTGGAACTGTAATTGAATATTTGGGCACTAGAAAGAGACTTAAAGATTATCTACAACATCTGGCTCATTATACAGACAGGAAAAATGAGGCCCAACAATGGGAGTAATTTGTCTTACCCTTTAAAGTTGCTAGTTAATTACTGACAGAATCATGTTGATTCCAGTAATTCTGTTGTCCCATGTAATGCTCTTTTCAAAAGCAGGAATAAAATGTTGTAGTTCTGGTACACTTTAGCAGAATTTGAAAATTGAACCCAAGTCTCTAAGGATTTATGAGAAATTAGAGTTCAGTTTTACTATAACATTACAACTTGTTCCCTGGCCATTATATCCAAATGTTAAACCATCAAGGAGAGGGTTCTCTTACTTGTTCTTGTTTGCTTCTTTTAAACATGGTCTTACTGTGTAGCTCACTGGCATGGAACACAAGGCAATCTTCCTGCATCAGGATCTTGAAAACAGAATATAAGCATATATCCCTCCAGGCTCACATCTGAGGGGTCTTAATAAGTTAGAGTTGTATATCAGCTTCATAGTTAGAGATACCCTAAACAGTCATTTCTCTTCATTCTCTGATGTTGAAGAGGAGAGGAAGAGAGTCTCTAGGAAAGCAACATGACTAACTTCCAGTTTACGTGATCAAGACACAAATATCCCAAATCCCTGTCTGCTGCTATTTCATGACACATAAAGAATGATCAGGAGTTGTATCTTGGAGACAAATAAGTGAAAGGTTATTTAGGGAGGGAGGGGGTTGCAGGCAAAGTGTTGGCGTGGGTGATACTTGTCCTCAGAGCTTCCATTTTCTGTATTTTTGCCCCTTTCAGTGGTCGGTTTTCTCCCTCAAGGATTTGCTCTTTGTGTACTATCCAAATATGTTGGGGAAGGTTTTATAAGCTACTTCGTTTTAATTCTTCTTGTCATATCTGTTTGATATGTACTGCTCTTAGCCCCATCACTTTGGAGATATGAAAAGTGAAGGCTCTCTCTGAATCGAGTTACTTCATGTCTGTGTAATTCATAAGTGGTCAAAAGAGATTCAAGCCCACAAGTGTTTAAGCACCTTTCTTAACACTTAAAATGCATGTAGACATGTAGAAAACAGGATGATGTATAATCATACATGTGGTCTCAGACAGGGGCTTGTATGTAGTTCAGTAATGCAGCAGCATTTGGCTAGCATGTGTGAGGCAGGCCTTGGATTCAATATTCAGCACTGAAAAAAAAAAGAAAAATGAATAAGCAGATAAATAAATAAGGCTTGAATGGAAAATAAAGAGAAAAAATGCAATTAGAAGGGAGTAAGTGAGGGATGGTGGAAGAGAGAGAGGGAAAGAAGGAAAAGAAGGCTTGTGAGAGGGGGTTCCACCCTGCATAAGGAAGTCACAGGGGAGCTTTCAATCAGGCCCTGCTCTGGAGGGCCTGATGACTTCAATTAGTTAATTGCCACCTCCTATTTCTTCGTGATATGCCATGGAGTAGATGGTGGTGTCTTCCACTTTACAAGCAGCAAAACCACTGATGGCACATGCCTCTCAGACATTTATGGGGAATTTAAATCAGTTTTTGCTACTATTAGTTTTATATTAAATTCAGCTCTTAGAAAATTAGAACACTTATTTATTGGGAGAAATAGTGAGAATTAAGACTTCTACTATGTAGACACATATTTTTGAGGAAAACATACACTTAAAAAAAATCCTCAAAGGTTTATAATACATTTCACTCTTAAAGTCTTCAGTAACTTTTTAAAAACTTTTTCTGCATTTATTTTTGACTTTTTAAAAATTTAATTGAATTTTGGGGACTGGAGAGATGGTTCAGCGGTTAAGAGCACTGGTTCCTCTTGCAGAGGACCTGTATTTGATTCTCAGCACCCACATGGCAACTAATAACTGTCCGTAATTCCAGTTCCAGGGGATCTGACACTGTCATCTGACCTTTGGGCATTGCACAACACAGGTGTGCTTACATACAGCAGGCAATACACTCATACATGTAAAACAAAAATAATACATAATTTTCTTTAAATATTTAATTGAATTTTTAAATTTTTTCATACAATATAGTTCAATTTTATTTAGATCCAATTCCCTATCTGCACCTCCCCCCGCTGCCTCCACTCAGTTTAATTTTTGTCCTCAAATGTCCTTCAGTGTGGGTCTATCCACTGGGCCCACCAAGACTCCCATGAGACACTCTCTCTCCCCCCTCTCCGGCAGCCATCAATTATTTGCCAGAGGTTCCTTGGGTTGGGTTGGGATTTCTTACCAACTTCCCCATTTCTGTTCTGGGATTTTGTCTAGTTTGAGTTTGCATAGGACCTGTGCATGCTGTCATCATTGGTGTGAGTTCATGTGGGTAACTGTGTTTAAAAGACTCTATTTCTTTGTGGTCAGCCACCCCCTCTGGCTCTTACAATCTTTCTGCCTCTTCTTCCACAATGACTCCTAAGCATAGGGCAGTAGAGGTTTGAATAGGTGTCCTATTCAGGGATAAGCACTCTGCAGCCTCTTCGTCTCTACAAATTGGCCATTTGTGGGTTTCTGTGTTAATCATCATCTGCTGCTTAAGGAAACTTCTCTGGTAAGAGCTAAGAGATTCATTCATCCTATATATGGAGGTTGCATTGAAGGTATATCACTTAAGGTTAAGTAAGCATCTCACAGACACTTATCCCCTGCATTTGACTAGAGTTTGGAACTCTGTAACAGTCTCCACCTGCTGTAAAAAGAAAATTCTTTGATGAGAGGTAAAAGGTATACTTGTCTGTAAACATGAGGATGCATATTTAGAACAAAGTAAGAAATTACATTGGTCTAGAAATGTGATAGACCTACGGTTTTCTCTAGGATCTATGACCTCTCCAGCCATGTATATTTTGCTGTGTTTACAGTATTACACATGATCTCCCTACCATTGAGCAGGCCTTAATTCCAATTAGATGGTTGTTGATTACCCCCAATAAAAAAGTGCCACTAATGTGCCACTAGCAATAGTTTGCTGGGCCAGTCATTGTTGTTTATTAGGCTTTACGGCTGGGTAAGACTATTGATTGATTTTCTCCCTCAGCGATTTTCTCCCTCAGCAGCTTGTATAGCTCTGATACCATGAGGGCTCATCTTCAGGGAGGAGGCTTCAAGGTCAGTTCCAGCTCCATTGCCCCAAGTCCTGTGTCAGAAGTGCTACTTTGTCTTCAACAATAGGGTCTTACCTTCAAGTTCTAGGAGGCAATCAAGGGCTGTGGCAATCACTTATGTTATTTGGGAGTCTCCTGGATAACTCTGACCGACAATCCAAAGGGAGGGTTCTCAAGCCTGGTGTGATTTTTGTTATCTTTATCTGTACATTTGTTATCTTTATCTATACATATATACTTGTATATTTATTGTATGTATATTTTTCAGTAGGACTTTGAACTAGTACATTTTCCCTCTGGTTTTTCATAGTATCTAAACATTATTTATCTCTCTTCAGTAACTTATTTTAACAAAAGCTTCATATCTATCTCAATTAGGCAATTTATATAGCTCAAAAATATATTGCCAGGTATGATGATACAAGCCTTTACTTCCAGCACTTGGGAGGCAGAGGCAGGTAAGTCTCTGTAAATTGGAGGCCAGCTTGATCTATGTAGTGAGTTTCAGGCCAGCAAGGTCTGCATAGTGAGACCTTCTCTCAAAAAACAAGTTAGATATATATGATTATAGTGTTTCTTTTCTAGTAAAGCAATGAAGATTCTGCTACTGGCCCAAATGAAAATATTTAATTATAATTTAATTTCTCTTTCATTAAATAGCATAAAGCCATAACACACACACACATATACACACACAAATCATTATTTTCTTGATGAGTTCAATCCTCTTATTTCACAAAAGAGAGAGAGATTAAGAGTGATACTACTCCTCAGAATTCCCAAGCCAATTTGCTTTGAGAATGGGATATCCAGACACTGCTGGCTGCTATACGGGTTTAAATATGCCAGCCAATGTATAGGAAAACCTAACTTCCATGTTACAATCCACATCTGCTTATGCTAGAATGCAAACCCATCTGAGAATCAATGAAGCACATGGAGAGGGTCTAATTAAATCCCCATGCCATTTCCTTTAAAACTGTCAAATTGAAATTGTAATCGTGTATTCATTCACCCCCAATGGTGTAGTGGTAATTTTAGAAGTGGGAATATTTAAGCAATAAGACCCAGCAGTGTGTGTTTTGCTAGGGTATCAACAATACTGGATAGTTCTTAGGTATGCAGCCAGTAGTGTGGAAACAAAGCCTTTCCTAAATAGTGAATCACAAAACTCTTCTGCAAGTTGCACCCACACTAATGAAAAACATAATCTTATATTGAGAATGAGAATTTGCAGGAGATGTATTTATTAATAATAACACAAAATAGTCCTAACCTAATGAAAATACTGCAAGTACATTAAGTGAAAGTGATGATACATTCAACAAATTAAAATAAAACTTTAAAGGTATCTGGCTTTTGAAATCACCACAGCATTCCAAAAACTTATTCTGTCTGCCATGCTTCGCCGTCTTCTACTAATTTCATTCTTGCATTAAGTGGCTCTCAGTTAAAATCTAATTGATAACTATGGGGGGAAAATATGCTCTGTAACTTGAGACTGCGGTGCCCTTTGCCTGATTCAGAAAGTGGCAAAACAAGGCTGTTTGGAGCATGGATTGAAATAAATATATACTCTTCATGTGCACTAGCAGTCAAGGTTTGGTGGCCTGTAATTACCTTAAGCTATGTTAAATTACAAATAGTAGATAAAGGCAATCAAATAATACAGCAGATTCACTGGCTTTATGTGGTCATCTCTTTAGTTAGGAAAGCATGAGGGTTGTTCTAGTCCTTAAGAGAAATCTCTATTTTCTTGTTTCTGGGATACAGTTTAGTTTAGGTAACCTAAAGGCAAAGACAAAAAAAATTTACTTCTGCTAACATTGTTAAGTTTCTTTCCTTGATACACTTGCTGACTGAAAGATTGAATAGAACTGGGAAAACCAGGACAGCATGGTGGCATTCTAGCCACCTACGAACAAAAGTGTCATGCTTTTTCTCACCTCCTGTCATTTTAAATACTTCTATCCTACTCCCTTCTGTAGGGACTGACTGGCTGGCTGTTCTGCAGATAAAGCCCAGGCAGGAAAGGTCATTGCAGTAGAGCAACAACAGGGGACAATGAAAATGGGGGAATGTGGCTGCGCTAGTGCTTGCCTATCGCTGTGCCAGTCCCCACTCCACACAAGAGCCTCTCAACAAGCTCTCCTCAGTCAAGCTGGGCCATCCTCCAAGGTCACTATGTGAAAATGCAACAACAACAGAGAAAACTGAGGGAGGTCCCATTGTCCTGTGTGTCTAGGGTAACTTCAGGGAAGAATTAAGGAATATAATGTTGAAAGTAAAAAAAAAAAATTATAATAATAAAACTGACTATCAGTTCTGTGTAAAGATGTATAGAAAATGGAGAATAGGAATTCAGGCAGTCAGAGAAGTAACTGGGTGACACAAAGCATGCTTTCCAGGTCCCTCTGTATTTTGCTCAACCCTATTCATCTTTTGATGCCTAGAGATGGGATGGGTGGGCACTTGGAGAATAGAAGTAGTTCACTATTTTCACTAAATTAATTTTTCTCCTCTCCTCTTCTCCCTCTCTCTTCTCTCTCTCCCCCTCCTCTCTCTCTCTCTCTCTCTCTCTCTCTCTCTCTCTCTCTCTGTCTCTGTCTCTCTCCCCTCCCCACTCTGGCTCTTAGAACATGAAAGCTATGCATACCTGAATAGAGAAGCGTGATAGCAAATCTCACATTACATTTCGTTCCCTACATTAGCACCATCTCCACAGAGAACCATGGAATTTAAAGATAATTTAATGAAGGTTGAATCCCATAAATGATCAATAAGGATTGAGAAACACCAGAGCACTAACATAATTCATAACCATCTCTTTGCAATAATTTAGATCTCCAAAATCAGAGTTCATCACAGGAAGAACATACACAGGTTTGTGATAGGGCTCCAGCATTAAGGTTTTGTAAAAGGGGAAAGCGAGGACAGATGAATGTTATGAGGTGTTTCAAGCAAAGGTCAACATTTGAATTCTAGGGGATTACTTTCTGGGGTCCTAGGATTTTCTGATCCTTTTTTTTCTAGTTAACAGAGAACATTGCCTTTTAAATTCATATACTCCCATTTTC